AAAWYYYCYTWTTTTAAAYAGAATGATTTTACATGGTCTATACTTCTGTTTTTACCAAAATAAATTACATGGYTTYATGGACTGCACTGTCATTCACTRTGTCTGCCCTGTAAGAGCAGAAGAKATCAATTCCACCTTGCCTATGAAAYTAAACCAAATATCCAAAACACAACAAGTGGATTGTTCTTAAATACCAACATCACTGCTCAAAACTTGCTTTTGGCAATTCACTTACCCAYTCCCTCTTYCTTCCAGAATAAGCACTGGAATTTTGAAACGTGCCATATCTGATCCACAAGGAGGCTTTGGGAGGGCAGGCTCAAAGTGCTGTTAAGGTGGAAGCAGTGCCAGATGCTGACAGCCTCATCCGAAACTGCATTAGGGCTCAATTCCCTGGGAACACAGTTCTACACTGGTGCCTGTGCGTTACTGCTCCATTATTTCCCCAGAGCCTACATAAACAGCTTCTCATATGCCTGACATTCAGCACACAACACTGGTTTGATTTTTTTTTTTTTTTTTTGTGTAGTTTTGGTGTTGTTTGGGGGGTAATTTTGTTTTAATCTATGTACCTGGCTTGCAACTCAAGTACTCAAGTACTTCCCCTTCCTTGTATAAAAGGAAGAGAGCACTCTCCAGCCTTCCACATGGAGAGCTGCATGAGAAATGCACCTTGCAGGGAAAGTAGGAATAAAAGGAGGTTTCTGYTTTCATTTGCAGCCTAAAGCTTTAAAGTACCTAACAGTGGTTTCAGCTTCAACTGTGAATTTCTCTTTAYATTCCTGCACATGTATTCCAAATCCAACTTCCTAATTCTGCCATCCAGAATCATTCCAGTCTGAATGCTAATGTGATTAAAAGCACAGAGGACATTGTGAGAATCACTACCTCCCCATTTTTAATTTTTCTCTTTTTTAATAAAGGAAGAGATCAGGCTGCATTCTCAGTTCTGCATCCCACAATGCCTGCAATTCCATTTCGAACTGCTCTCCGAAACACCAAGAACTCTCAGCCAGCTGTTGCAGGTATTAAGAACAGGAGTATTAGATGGAAATGAGCTCCAGCACAAGTTACTGGCTGCCAGCAGACATGCCAGAACTRCTCTTTCAGTTACTTTCAGCCTACTCTCAGTGAAAGATAAACCACGCTAAAAGGCAGTTTAGACCAAGTTAATCCATGTTCTACCTGAAACTGATAAACAGTCTCAGTGACTCCATGCATTATCAGCAACTTAAGATCTAGCTCAGCTACTTACTAACCCGTATCATCTATCCTAGCACCTGCACGTGCATCTAGAAGGCTCAGTAATATTATTTTTCTAGTCAATAATAACTGATTAAAATTCCCTTGAAGTTAATCAAAATGCAGAACCATTTATAGTTCACTTATAGCTACAGCAGGTCTGGCCATTAGAGATGAAAATTTGCTTTTAACATTTATTCTATGGGACATAAAACTTCAGAATCTCYTTGTAAGTCTGACCTTGGTGTTTCACTTCATTTCCAAAAGATTAAAGTTGAAGAAAATACTTATTTTTGAGAAGGAACTCTCTCCACAAGGAGTGCAAAGTGAGATGATTTTTCTTCAGTTACCAAAGTCCTCTGAAAAAAACGCACTCAGCAAGTGCGTGGGTAAGGAGAGAGGATGTCTTTGAAGGGAAGAGTACACCACTGCTCCCTTTCCCCTTAACGCTGATCTGCCCAAGGTTAGCCAGAAAGCTTTCCAGCTCCAGGCTGTAAAATGCATCCTGACAGAAGTGGCTAAATTCCCACCATCTTATTAAACTCTACCTACATTCAAAAGGAAAAACTCCAGGAATCAGCAATGACTAACAGCCCCAAGAACCTCCCCTGGCCTGTCACAAGTCCAATTAAATGGCAAAACTGATCATCTCAACAACATTTCGGCTTTTACAAGCCTCAGTGGACCTGGATGCAAAACTAAGAGCAACTTCCCAAACAGCCCAGAGGGAAACTTTGGGAATGTATCCCACCCCCACTGAACAGAGCTGCAGCAATAAAGGACCAGCAGGAGAGAGGGAGGGACATCCAATCCTCCCACACCTCTGTGAGTACTCTGCAGCCACTTTTGTGCAAGTAAAAAAGGAAAAAAAGAAGGGGAAAATGTTAAATATATTTTATATATTTACAAAATATATAAATATATGCAATATATYGCATACAAATATATAAAATATACAGAAAATACCTAAATATTTCAAAATCGCATATAATATATATAAAAGGTATTAAAATACTTTGAGAAATATATAAAAATACATGCATGTGTTTTACTGCTTTGTTAAAGCAGAGCCCAGGGCAGARGTAAAAACCTTACTGGGACTTAAGAAAGCCAAGAGGAATGGAAAGGAAGGCTCACACTACCATGGATATTTTATTTTCAGGAGGTCTGCAGGACTATCATTTCCAAGTTGACAAGGATCAGGTTTCTTCCACGCTCTTGTGAGACAYTCACTACTAATTCCTGAGGCCACTAGGGAGCGTTCCCAGCCTCTCCACCGACAAACACCAGCAAATCCTCCAGCAGCGTTTTGTTCTAATCAGTCTCAAACCTCTCCCACCAAAYAGAAAAAGTTTACTCTCATACACAGAATAACTCAAGTGCTTCCTCCAGAGCAGTAACTACTCTGAGCAAAAGCCAGAGGCTGCAGCTCCTGCTGGATTTTTGCTTGTTCACTATGACTTAGCAAATTGCTCTGGAAGGTCCTATCCTGTCACATGCTCTGTCCCCGTCCTGTGACCACAACAGATACGGCCATGGGCATTTTTCTTGCCAACTCCCTCAGTGCCACCCTATATTCCAGTCCAATACCCACACCCTGATCTTGTTTCTCCTTTCCTAAGAACAATCCTTTCACTTACACAGCAAAGACTCAGGCAGATGCTTTTCTTATTTTAGTAAGCACTGACGTACCACAGAAATCTGATTAAATAACAGACAAAGATATATAAAATTATGCACGACAACAATCACTGGAACTGTTCCTGATACACCACCCCACGTTCTTTTCTGTGCAGGCTCCCTGAAAGAGAGGCTGAACCRTTATTTAAGCTGCTACAGGAAACATTTTTGCAAAAGATGTCTAAAGAATTATATTTAACAGGAGTTTCTTGCACACTGTGGAAATTAGAAGCCACTCCAACCAAAATACAAGGAATGTTTCAACTTATCAGATCTATTGCTTGAGCACAGCCCGAAGCAGGTAAGGGAAATTATTATCCCTAATTTCTCTTCTCTTGTTTGAACTGCTGCTCTAAGATGGTAGAAGGAACAAAAAATTAAAACCAATTGTTCTTGGCTTCTTAGTTAAGASAAGACAMTGAGTAAGGCATAACACAGAATTAACAAGGAAGAAGGGGAAAGGCAGCTGGAATATAGTTCCAGAGAGGAAGCAGAACATTTAATCCAACCATTAGAAAGTGCAATTTTGTTTCCTCAAAATGTGAAGCTACCACATCTCTGAAGAAAAACACATCTGCATATTAATCTGAAAAATAACTGATTAAATAATTAAGTTAAGAAATGTAACAGCTACTCACCTGTCTGCACATCTATGACCATCTGATGGCCACCTCTCATTCCTGGCCGACTGTCTTCCCCGTCACCTTGAAAAAGAGGGAAGGGAGAGTTGTCCATTATATGCTTTTTTAAACCAAAGGAGGATACAACCTCAACATGGAAGCAGGGGAACTTAGTAACTCATCCTTGTTTAAAGATGAGCACACTGCTTTTTCCATGTAATATTCTTTTGTTCATTACAAAACTGTACAAGTTCTACTCTGAATTATCTGGTGACTGACAGTCCAGGGAGCAGAAGTGAATAACTGCAACTCCCAGCACCTTGGGAAGGAGCTCCAGTGTTCCTGACACACTCAGGGCACACAAAAGAGCTCTGAGCTGCCCTTGCAGCTCTYCAGCAGTGAGGACACAGCCAGCCTTTGGCTCCCCTTCCATCTCTCCTCACCTGAGAGCTGAGCTGTGAGAACAGATACTCAAATGACATGAAATGAACCCCTAGGATGGGAGCAGGAGGTGATGCAGATACAGCACAGCCAGCTTTGCACTGGTTATTCTCACATATAAGGGAATTCCAACTGTCCAATTAAAGCAGCTTTCCAACCACTCCATGCATCTTAAGCATTCAGGAGAGGTGCCATCCATGGGAAGCAGCATTAGGAAGATAACCTGTGTTCTGCTGGGAGAGAAATCTGCTTGTACCCACAGATAACCCTYCCCAAGGGACAGTGCTCCACATTTGGCAATTGCCACCTTGGATCCYACATTTGCTCTAAGACAGCGATTTTTGTTTTCTGCAGTTAAGGACGCTGCCACAAGTCTCCTCTCAAAGCAGAAAGGAATGGAAAAACATTCTGCATTTTGGATTTACTGTGTAACAGACAAGACTTCAAAAGATTCATCTCATTTAAAATACTCTCTGTTAAGATAATGCATTTATTTGCCAGCTCTTCATTTTAAGTTGAAGTTCCATCAATTCCATGGGCAAAATCCAGTAACACAGATAACTGTTCTCATGTTCAACCAATATTCTGGGATTWGTAGCTAAACTGATGATCTGTCCTTAAAGCTACAACTAGTATTCCTGCAGTGTTCCTCACTCAAGCAGCGACCAGACTGATTTTTGAAGACAAATACAATGTTTTCAGAGAAGAAACCATTCCCGAGAAGAACTCTCCTAGAGGAGACTTTCTTGCATCATTTTCTTCTTCTTCTTAATATTCTCAAAGGAGCAAGACAGAACTGGCAGTACATGAGTTCTATCTTAAGAAATGTCCTTACCTTTGGTGCTTTTGGGGATAATCTGCCCCCAGCGAGGTTTGTACTCCTGCTGACTGATATACTGATTGAATAAGCCATCTGCAAAACAAAAATTTTGCTGGATAAAACATTTAGCCTTCCATTACAGCAAAATCACTTTTAATGTGGGTAACTTCAGCCCAACTCAATCCAGTATGCCACTCCAAAGCCTTCATTTTCAGTGAATTCTCTATTATATGTCAGTTAGTTTGTTAAACTTTTGTTAGTTTGTTAAACTTTTGTTAAATTGTAAATGAACTAAATGTGCAAGCACTAAAATAAAAAGAATACTTGCTACTAGATCAATCAGGAATTATCCAGTTTGCCTGCCAGGTCGTGCCAAGTGTCTATAAATCTCCAGTGTGGTGTATTTAATTAAGAATAGAATCCCTCCCCCTTATTTAAGCAAAAGGAAAGTTGCCAGTGCATATAAAATTCAACCATTTTAGTGCACGTTAAGTTAAAACTAGGTCAGACAGCATCTCTGGAGCTTCATCTGAGAAAGAAGGGAARCAGAGCAGATTGTTTAAATGCTGTGATATGGGAAAACCAAGCGCTGGATGAAAAACAAAATAATAGTTTACATTCTCTTCAGAGAGTTAAGCAAGAAGAGCAAGAGAAGAGGCGTTAGATCCTGGGCCAGATGTGCCAAGTGCAGCATTTCTGTGAGCAGCACCAGCTCCAGCACTTTATCCACAGCCCCCTTGTGCCTTCCCCCTCTTCAGCACCCAGAGGCCAGTTCTTAATCCTGTTTAGATGTTATCAGCCTACCACATAAACACTATTTTTTTATAAAGGAGACTTGTAACACCCACACTCTTTGGGACCGCTCTCTGGTCTGGGAAGTGCTTGGCATGTGGGGAACTTGGTGCTGTTGCTCTTCAAATGTGTCCTCTAAAATACCTACCTGACCTTCTATAGCACAACAGCACAACAAATTATGAGACCACCTGAGCACTGTTTGCATGGCTACACCCCACACATCACCCACCATCTCAACACATATGCTCTTCCTCACAGGTGTTACTGCTGTATTAATGCATTATCTAAGAAAAAAAATAGGAATTTAATAGATTATGGACACCTCCACTTATTTATAGTCCTTTATACGTATAGAGGCAAAAAAAAAAATCCTCACTGAACATATCCGTATTTATTTAGAAGAAGGTAAAAATCTTTGTTAAGCATGACACAAGGTTCAGAGAAAATTTTAAAGTGTTTCCTGGCATCCTGTAGTTTGTCGTGACTGAAATCCAGGTTTTAATTAAAACCCAAGCCAGCAAGTATTTCCTGGGAGAAGATGAATGCTCTATTTAGAGACCATCTAAAAGGAAAACAAGGGCACTCAAGAGCTCCTGAAAGGTGATGAGTTTGGTCTGAAAATATAAAACTTCCATAAACTCAGCTGTGCAAGTTTTTCCAAATAAATACTCTGAAAACAGGGCATATTTTTCTTTCACCTCTGAGCCAAAACCATCAGCTCTCTCCCCACATTAGGTAATCGAGGAAAGCCAGAAGTTTGCTCAACGTATGTAGAAAGAAAAGTGGTTTATTTTGGGTTTAATAGCAGGGTTCTTAACTCCCACTTCTTCAGCATTTATGAAGTTGGGACAACACATGAGAGGCTTGAAGCTTGAGATCTCATGAATTCTGATTCAGAAAAGCCAGCCCTAATAGAACAAATGCATGTGCTGTAAGAAATCCCACAGTGACTCAGCCACAAACCCAGACAGAAATGCAGCCTTTTGGTTATCGTTACAGCCTTGGGTCTGCAAGACAGAAACCAAAACCGTATTTATCCCGATGGCAGCCAATAGATAATTGGACATAAATAGCTCAAAAGGATGAATTACAGCACATAGGATCTGAAAGGGTGATTTAACCTCTCTCTCATGCTCTACACCCACAGGCTGCACTTGTCAAGATATGACACTTCTCCCCTACTGTGCCTTCAGCCTCTTTTAATAATGCTTCTTGTCTTCCATGGGACATTGGTTTGGAAATACTCCAGCTTGCTTCCCCGAAATGTTTCCTTCTGCTGGATGCAGTTCCACATTCACTCTACTTGCATTGCAAACCAGCAGCAGCTTGTTTTGGAAGCTGAATCACCACCTGTCTGACACCACCAGGGAAAAAAAAGGAGGATTTCTAGGTGGATTCTGCACCCGACGCCAGACCTACGCCAGCGCACTCCTTATGTTCCTTGTCAGGAGAGCACTGCTGACCAAAAGGTCTCCAAAGCTCCTCAGAGGCACTGGGGATCAGATCTAGGCCTGCTCAGGTCTGTCAGCTGTTCCCAATGAATCAGGAGTTTAAAATAAATTTCAAGACTTCTGTCAAAAAAAAAAAGTGTCGGGTGGAAGTTTTTAAATAAAGTGTTTTCCTTCGCTCTGGAGACCTCTCACTTCAATGTCCATGTTTACTAAAATTACAGCCAAAAAACTGACTTTGTACTATTTTCAAGCCCTTTGCAGTAAGTCATGACGCATTTTGGATGTAAAAACACGAAGTTCACGGTGGTTAAACCTCRGTAAATTCTGCCTCCCTGATAACCCAAGTCTTTATTTTGCCAGCCAATTGCAGGTTACTGAGAAAGGATTAGGACAAACATTGAGGACAAAAATATTTAACTTGCTGAAGCCAATCAGGAGTAAGTTGTATAAAGTTTGGGTTTTCTTAGACAACACACATCTCCAGATAGGAGTTTTTGAAATCTATTCACCTCACTGCTAATGGCTGAAAAAGCTTCAGAGTGACATTTAACCCGTAATTTCTGGGAGCTGGGGTTAGAGGTTTTAAGATTTTTCTCAAACCAAAGAAAAACAGCCATAACACCTAAAAAGTTTTMGGCTTTTTGAGTTATGAAATACCTTCTAAAGAAAAACTGAAGGAGAAAAAAGTACTACTAGATAAAAATCCAGCCATTAGTTGACAATTTCCTCAAGACTTGGGAGAAACAAGGAAATGCACAATTTTTTTCAGCCTCAGAGCTATAATATTTTTTTGCACTTTCTTCTTAACAAAAATGAAACAAGGTTTGCTCTCAAATCCATATAAGTTATCCCTCTTCTACACAAACCCTGCATTTACTTCCCAGAGGCTTTGGCTCCTTAGCCAGCCTTCCCCTCCATATATCCCAGTACACACAACAGCTTCTTCAGAACCAAATCCAGACAATATTAGTYGGTAAAATTCAGGTATACGTGTCTGTCTAGAGCTTGCAGGGGAATACAATTGTTCCTGTGCATCCTGTTCCTGTGAATCATGAGTTCTGGGAGACGCTGGAGCCTGCAGGCAGCGTATCACAACTCCTTGTTTGTCGCACAGGACTGACTTGTCACCAGATAAACACATGTCACACGCTGACACGAACAGAGCCAGAAGGTATACCTCAGTCCCTGGAATCCTAATATGAAACAAGCAGTTCTTCCACCCATTCCAAGCAGCTTCTCCATGTCTAAAGGAGCTGCAAGCAGTTCAACCAAGCAATTTGCACTTCACATACTCTCTGTAGGAATATTAAGCAGATTTTTTCCTTCAATAATATAGGCCCGAAAGCTATAGGAATGGATCCAAATGTGAAGCATTTGAACCGAGTCTGTGAACCAGCTGAGATTTAGGGAACCTTTTCTTTTTGAGAGGAAGTCAGGCAGCTGCCAGAGTTTCCATTTGCCCATTTTCTAAGTGTAACGCACAAGTCAAAAGAATCTGCGGGAAAAGTGTGGCTGCCTGCCACCGAGCTCTCAAAAGAAATCATCTGGTGATGTGAGGTGGAAGACAGCGTTCATCATTAGCAATGCAAAAGAACAAGAGTTAGCTCTGCCAGCACTAATTCTTGACCACCTACTCTTTTTCTACATGACTAAGCCTATGGAAATAGCCCGCCAGAGATGCAGAGCGTTGCACTTTGTCAATACCCACCACTGCAAATATCAGCCTCTCCAGAAGACATTTTAGGCTGAACTGAGTGTGCAGTATCTCTGTCAACCTCGCTGCACTTCTGTTTGTGCCTTTAAGGCAATGAACTCTCAGATCAGCAAGCGGTCAGGAGTTCACATATTCATGCCCAGTCTGCAACAGAACAGTTGCTCTTTGAACGATTTCAGGGATAATTTAAGGATCTGTATGTCTCAATTAACTCTACACTTGAGCTACACTACACAGACACAGGACTAAAGTTAATCCTCTTTCATTTGGAAAAAACAACACATCAGACAGGAGTTCAGTGGTAAGAACACCCACACCTTAGAGACTAAGCAGTGAGCTACTGCAACTTCACAACAGAGCTGCTAGGAAAGTAAAATGGTAAAATCATCATCGAATGGCCTGGGCTGGAAAGGACCTTAAAGATCATCTAGTTCTAACCACCCTGTCATGGACARGGACACCTCTCMCCACACAAGGCTGCTCACAAAGTGCTGGGGGGCCTGAGACACAGAACAGAGTAAGGACAGGTAACTCTGGAAAACCACAGGAAGCAGGTAGTAGGAATACTGTAAGGGGAACATACTGAAGGTACAAAACTTCTATTCCTATCCTACCAAGAAGAAACCAGCTGTTAAGAACCAGTAACATTCAGMACCCTGACTGTACCACAGCTTCAGATAAATTATTCCAGCTGCAGTTTGGAGGTTTTTGTGTATCAGAAGAGGTTTGTCCTGTCCTTTCCCCCACCCCAGCCTGATCAGCTCTCTGTCTGGGYTTGCCATGTGGCAGCACGAGCACCAGTGCCAGGGACACACTGTCCTGAGCAAGGGCAGGATTGACCCAGTTAGTAAAAACCCGCAGTCGTGTCAGCTTAAAGCAAATATGGGATGCAGCCTCGGTGTCTCGGGATAGATAGCACTTCTCTCCAAAGGGTGCTGGGAGGCAACAAAGCTTTAAATGGGTACATTTAAAGCTGAAGACACCATAAAGAATGGCAGGAGGATGGGAGAAGGAAGGTTAATGTATTCCAAGACAAGCAAAATCATTAAGGATGACCAATACARCGATGGGAGATGTGTATGCTGACATTTAACTTCAGCTAGCCAGGTGCCAGATTAAAAATGAAGCAAAATAAACATTCCCATGCATATTTTCCTGCCCCTCAGAAGCAGTGACAAAACCTAATGATGCTCTTGGAGACTCTCCTGCTAAATTATCCACCGTCTGTTACTMYCAAGACTTGCTTCTTATACTTGCTGGAACAAAAAAAAGGGCTGATAAAACAAGCTACAGCATATTCCTCCAGCTCACTTAAGTGATGCWGAGTTCCTCAGCCTCCAAAAAGGGACATGATTACAAAAACCAGAGAAGAGGATTATTCACATCAAATCTGACAAGAAACAAGGGTCTGTCAGACAGAACAATACAAGATCTACAGTTTTCTACCAGACCAGTACTTCCACACCTGGAAAAGCAGAGCACTGCTGACAGCAACCCCACTCTCAGCATACATTAAGTACTTCAAGAAATTAAGATATAACAGCTCAAAAAATGAGGCTACAAACATTCATTTGATTAGTGCTCAAGAAAAAAAAATTCCATTTGTGAGATAACTTTTTCAGCACAGTSTAAGACTTTGAGTGAAATTCCATTCAAGAAATCATTTCCACTCTAGCCTGCAATGAAGTGGAAAGARGACAGCCTCCAGGCACTGAGATTAAGCCATGGCCAAGGCAGCAGAGCGAGGCAATGATAAAATCATCACCATCAGCACACAGCACTCCTCTGGCTGCTGCAGCATCGTGGTGGGCTCATCAGCTCCCTCCAGGCACTCRTGTCTTTGAGACACAGACAGCAACAGCTCCCTGCTGCTTTTCCAGCCYGCAATCCTCCCTTGCCCTGAAGATTCAGGGGGAAGCTGCCAGTTGCAAAATGCCCCTGCATTGCAGGAAGCTGTTCATGCTCCCATCCCAGCCAACACTCTGCTGTCTCAGGAGGGTGAGGATGAACATGGCAATTCTCAGTCTCAACACTTGTAGCTGCTCATGGAGATCAGCACAGGGCAGGTCCCAGCTGTTCTGTCCAAAGAGCAACCTTGAGCCAAACCCATAGAAAACTACTCACTGCAATTTCACAGGACCTGTTGCAATAAGCTCCTTAAAACTCTGCTCTGTTGAACAGCTTAGTGACAAAAAGATGGTGGGTTTTCTTGGAAGACAACCTTTGATTTTAAAACTATGATTTCTATCACATTCTGAGAACCACTTCCAGCTTCAGCAGAACAAACCACACTGATGGGAGTCAAGCAGGTACAYCGGCATCTATCCAAAGGTATTACAAAATGACTGATTAGCCCAGAATTAGAAAACAACATCTCTGGTGCCAGCTATCCATGAAATTGATTCACTAAGTCCCTAAGTCTACTGGCATCAGACACTAAGTTTTCCTCTTAGGCCAGTACAAGTTTCCCATAACAAGTGAGTGCACAGAGTCAAAAAGCTCTACACCCAAAGCCAAGAGCACCTCTCTTTTATCAGACTCTAATCCAAAACTGCTGCACGGGCCTCAAGAGTCACTTCAGTGCAACAGCCCCACTTTTTCTGTATCCCATTTGATCAACAGAGAGTGCATCTCCCTCCTTTAGGAGTTGAGAGCTGTTCATATACCGYGTTTTTAAGCAGAAAGCTTCCAAGTAAAAAATTAATTGCAGTTTCAAGGAAACTGACTGCCCTGCCAGGGTCCCACTCTGCAAAGAAGAACAGATTCTGCCTCCAGTCACTGATTTCCACATCATTCTCCAAGGATTATATCCCCACAAGCAGAGAGCATCCTCATCCAAACACAGCTTAAAACTTCTGTCTGAACACCAACTCAGTGGTGAGCTCCAACCAGAAACCATGAGCCAGATCACCACTGAGAACTCCCAATCTTCCRCTGCTTCTGCTCACCATTCCAGTGACTTTCCAGACAGTTAAGCCCAYCCTCAGCTTGCTAACACTTACAAGAAGAACTTGTCTTTACCCACTCAAGTGCACCTTGTTGTCATCTCTGGGGAAAGAGACTCCAAAAGTAGCAGTGAAAAGAGATTTCATGAATTTTTATCCTTCATCACACASACACATTCACAAGTCCAAAAGCTGACAGCACACCACATCAGATACGAAACAACACATGAACCTGCCAATTCTACTACTAAGCACATTAACATTCAAAAAAAGGTAATATTTCAATGCACTTTTAAAAAAATTAATGAATCAGATTCCTCTGATTCTCTTACCATTCACAGCTTTTTCTATCAGCTCTTCACAGGCATCGAAGTCCCCCTTCAACACCAGTTTGTCATGCAGGTCTGTCAACATGGGGTGCTCCAGAGCAATTTTGGTTTTCTTCTGCAGCGACTCGAAAGCTTCGGTGTAGTTGTGCTGCCGAAAATGCTTTAGGCAAAGGCGAATGGCTTCCTGTTCACGGTACTACTGGAACACAAGAAAACCTCTGAGACATGGAGACTTTTCCTTTGACCAGCACTGCTGGCAGCTACCTGTGAACCTGCCCAGAGACAGCATCTCTTATCCACGCTGCACAAACAGCTCGTGAGCTCACAGAGGAACGCTGCATGAGAGACATTACAAGCTGTGSAGGCATTCACTTTCCAACAGTATAGAAATTATACAGCTTGGTATCATCCAATTTAATAAGCATACAAGAAGAGAGTGCACGGTGTCCCAGATCTCTGGGGTGACCATTATTTCCYCCCCCCRTCTGCTTGGCCCTGCTGTTCGAGGCCTACACGAAGCACRGAGCAGGAAAAAGCCTTCACTATCAGCGTTACATAATTTGATTGTATGACTCTTACATAACAAAATAATTTAGAAGAGTAAGTAGGTCACAGCTTTTCTAGAAGCAGAAGGGAAAAAAAAAAGCCGCGAGAATGGGAATACTTGCAATGACCAGCACTCCTGCCACGGAAAGGCAGAAGGCTGACCCCAAATCCTGCGRGTTTGTGAGGGTTTGGGCTCAGCAGCACCGAGGATTTCTGTGCACGTCAAAGTTTTAACTTCTAAATATTTCCCTGCATCTTGAAGCAGAACCTCTGCTTTCACACCACTGATCAGCCCAGCTGCCCATCTCCCACTCKGCTGTGGGAAGGGGTGAGAAAGGTGAGAGAAAGCCCACGCTGGGTCAAACATCCTGGCACAGACACACGAGGGAGTAGTAAACTCTGAGTAAGAGCTACAATTTTCAAAGCTGCTAACAAGATGCATAAGAAACACAGATTTTAAAGTTGGTAAGTAGCAGAACCACTTTTTAAAATAGACTTTTSAAACCTAAATTCTAAGGCATTAAAGAAAAAAAAAATCTCAGTTTCCATCTTTAACACACAACTACTGTGACAAAAAGTAATTGCAACTTTAAGCATCTGTAAGACTGAACAAATCACAGACAAAAGATTTTAATCCTAAATGGACACTACTACTAAAAGTGAAGTTTATGGTATTTAAATGAAYAGAATCTTTCTGAAAACCTGGAACTAACACTGACATTCAACAAAAATTAGTTATCTCAAAATAATGGCTCGATAGCAAGAATCTCATAAACTGAAGTGGCTAAAAAGAAACACGGCCATGTGCTGTATTTTTAGTTCTTAATCCATCAGTATTTCACAGCTGCAAATAGCCAGAACTATGCATTTTTAGAAAACCAGTTCCCAGCCCACATAAAGGCCAAGGACATGTACCGATAAGAATGCAAGGCTGCAGCAAAGAAATATTAAAGCTAAAATAGTTTTACAGCACAACTGGCAAAAAAACAACTCCTTTTTCTTCTTTCCAAGAGATACCTAAGACACTCTCTTTAAGCAAATCTTCACTCACATGAGTCAAGGCCGAAACCAAATTAGATTTTTTGTCCAAAGGGATAGCAAGCAAAAGAGAGCTGCACACCAGTAACAATCAGCTTCTGCATTTTCAGATCCTCCAGTTTAGGAATCAGACAAAATGAAGATTTGGGAGGGTACCCTCTCCCTTCCACTGAACCTCTCATGACTGATAACCATGGCTCAGATAACCTGAAATGACTTGGATGGAATTTAGCCATTCAATGCAATATAAAAGTTCATATTCAAGTGACACCATAGTAGTACTTCAGAAGTTAAATGTAAAAATTTGCTTTAAGCAAAAAAGTGTATAAAAAGAATATAAAAGGCTCCTTTATAAATGCTGTCATCCAGGTTTAAAGAGATGACAACCCAAATAATAGCTTTGATCTGAAGCTGTAAATAATTCCTACAGTTAAAAACGTAGAAAGAGCATGAGACTAAGACATCAACACTGTCAAATACACTCGTAGAATTAAAAATACTTATGTGCTCATTATCAATAGAGGTAACCAGTGGTAAACTGTCCCTTCTTAGCTGCCGAAGAAGGACCACTCTTCAGAAAAAAGGAGTATGGCTTTTTGGAGGCAGTAGGCTGAGCTGGACAGCAAGAAGAAAGCACTGAGGAATATTTCAGACCTTATCCATTATCCCCCACTCCCCTCACTACAGGAGAGGGAGGTTTTGTTGGCACACAACAAAAAGGATGGGCAAYGTGGTGTAGAACCTTCCTCTCATCTGATGTCACAGGCAGTAAAGAATTATTACACTTCAAAGCCTCTWAGATTTCCAAAAACATGCATGAAAATATTTCAACCATCTCAAAGATGTGGAAGAAACAGGTCAACTTTACTGCCTTTCCCTAAATATGGGTCAGCACATCCTCCTCTGTGGATCCAGCAACGATGGCCTCTCCTCTGTGAGAGAGGAGAACATCAGTGACACATGTACTCATCACCAAAAACCTGGCAAGGGATCCTAGCAGAGCCCAAACCATCATGACTAAGTCTCTGCATTGCTGCTTTGGGGCTCCAAGCTTTAGGAGAACAATGCTGGCACCCCTTGAAGAAGCTGTCTACAGCTACTACACACAATGCTGACCAGGAAAAGTGCCGATTCCATGGGATAAGATGGAACAAAACAGATGGAGACATCATTACTCTATGGCTCCTGACCAAAAAATAAAAAAAAAAAAATAAATCAGAGCTTCCTGCTTGCAGCAACTGGTCCCAACTGCCAGACATACCACTTTGTGCAGAACCAGCAGAAAGAAAACCATCAGCAGCTTCTGTCAACTGGATTTTTCAGAGTTGGACATCCATCATCAGTTGACTCATGACCACAACACCACTTGGATCACAAAGCAGCTCCAGACAACTTCCACTGTGCTGGTTATTTAAATTCTCCACAAAGCAGCTCATGATGTTGGTGTAAATGGGCACGAGCCAGACACCACAGTCACACGGCTTCTTCACCATTCTGGCAGCACCATGAACTTGTGTGGGAGTCTCAGTATTAATCACACACAATCTCYATCCCCTTTTAAGTTTTTCCTTCTGGAAGCAGAGATACACTGCTCCAGTACTCAGTCCTACTCAGCTGGGAAGGATGTTTTCTCCACAACACAATATGAGTTTCATTAATTGTTCCAGAAGATCCAATGCACAAAATGCGGCAACAAAATGAGTTCTGGTTGTCAGTGTGCACTTTCCTCCCACAGGAACGGAATTTCTTATACTCAATTTAATACAGGTTATAAAAATAAAGTTTGGAACCCTTTCAGCTTCCTGTCTATTGAAGTGACAAATGGCATAAATCATCTCATCTCATCTCACAGTCCAGTGGCATCAGCCCCATTCTGTTCCAAGGTATTCAGCAAAAAGACAGTAAGAGGGAAACATCTGAAGTGCAAGGAACTGCAACAGGAAAGAYATCAACATGGACTCTCTTTAATAAAGGTCATTTTTATACCCTGTAACAAAAGGTGCATCTGTAACCCCAAAAAAGCTCCGGACTCCAGGGACTGGCATGTTAAAAGAATGACTAATCAGAAGTCAAGAAGAGGGAGAAATGGAATCTAGTTTTGTTAAGATTCATTTCCCTTCCAATACAAATACTACTTTATTAACATTATCCCCTTTGAATCAGTGTTCCTTTCTTTTATGCTCTTCTTGTGATGTCTACCAGGCAGGTCTTCTGGGTGATGCTGGTGGTTTTGGGGTTTCATGGGGCTGTTTTGTTGGTTTGTCAAAGAAAACAAACAGATAAAATCCAAAAAATTTCCATTAGAGYCAAAGTCAGCCACGTGGTTTCAACTATGCATGTTTGCTGTTTTAATAGCTGATATTCAAGGAATGAAAAGGTCATATCACYCCAGTAAGAGAAGTTGCACAAGATTCTGAGACTGGGAATCTTCAAACAGGCATCTAAAATGCAGGCCTACCTTGCTGTACCAGTTGAGGCACGGCTGGACCACATCTGGATCATCAATGCCATTTAGTTCAACATACCAGATACTAAAATTGAAGCTAGGTCCCCAGGATAAGAGTGGAACTGGAGAAGAAAGGAAAAGGAGAAAAAAGATGCATAAACATCAAACAACCACTTCATTACAGAGTATTGCAACAGAATGCTTTTAAARTTTACACAAAATTCAGTATTTCTGACTTAAGTTCTAGCTCATTTAACTTAACTTAGGAAAATTACCAAATACATCATATTCAAGTCATCATTTAAAGCAACCTGCGCTGAGCAACATTAACACAGCAGATMATTACAAAGCAGAAGCTTGCTTTAAGCAAAAGAGCAAAAACACTATCATTTAAAACAGCTCCAAGAGGCAACAAGCTTTGACAAGGATGGGAATCACGAGCATACTAGCGACAGTATTTGCTCCTCATAGTACATTTATTTCCCCATTTGTCAGCAACAATTATTTTCCCTAATGGTGAAGACAAGAAGCTTGAGTATTTTAAATTTTACCAAATTAGTAACATCTGCAAGTTGCGGAGGAGGGAGGGAGGGATAACTGTCAGTTTCTAATTTAAAAACTGATTTTTTTTTTTAAGCTTTAATCTGTGTAGTTTTTTTGCTGATACTATTTTATCTGAGTATTGGAACAAATGGACTTGAAATAATAAAAGACCAGTGAAACACATTACAGCCTCTAATGTACAGCTTCTCTACCACTCTGGGTTAACATCTGTGGCCTTGCACTGATTTTGTGATTAATCTGCAGGTTAAGATTTTGTTCTGCTTTTTGAAACAACTCCAACTCCCAGAAAACTTRTGTGTGAACTCTGACTCCTTAAAACTGCAGTAAAATCAAGTGGTTTCATTTCAAATACTTTTGTTTCCTTTTTATTTGACTGTAACTGATAAACAGGAAAAGACAGTATTAAAATTGAATGAGCAGTTACCAGCAACAGCAAGGAGTCCACCACCTCCTCCCTTCCACTATTTTTGCCACAGAGAAATTGCTTGTTGTCCTTCAAACCACCATAAAATACCACTGAGATTAACCTGTTGAACTCATGTTTTTCTGACCTACTCCTTGAGGAAATAAAAACCCCAAACCCATCATAAAGTTGTTCCTGAGCTCTTACAGGTTCTCAAGTATTTATACTTCAAACAAACTACATCTATGATTGTCTGCAGTGTTTGGGCACAAGGCACATGTTCAAACACATGATTTTCTAAGTCTTAGAGACTGTATTTACAAACCAATTGYTAAAGGCTCATGATAACTTCTGGGAACAGTCAAGAGACTTTGTAGATGAAACTCTTAACTGATTTTAATATCCCTAAGTAGGTMCTTTCTATGTTACAGCTCTCAAATCATCTTTTCAAACCCTTTTTTTCAAGTGGATTATTCAGCACTCAGTGTGATGCTTTCAGAGCAACTCCTTGTAGGTGCRTGTTTGGGGAAAGAGAGAAGTGAAGTGGTCAGAGAAACCAAGAGTCACCTGTCTCCCCATCCACATTCCATGCTCTCTGCCTAGGAAATTCCCTCTTGCTTACTTTCATCTCCTGCACAGCTGAGTGCTGCCAATATGGTACCTAAATACCATAAAACACGACTACTTCTGAATACAAGTTTGGTCCCGGATATCCTACCTATTACTGCAGCAGACTGACAAAATACCACATCTAAGGGTAACACCTCTGGTCTGCCCTCAGACCTGAACACACAGATCAGACCAAACTGAGGTTAAATTTGGTATTTGGTCAGCTATAAAGATTAAAGTCTATCCATCAGCTCACTGAACTGAAACACTCAACTAAACCACACAGACCACCTCAAATGGGCCAAGACCATACACTTCCTGATGGTAAACCTGAGGCCAATTTCCAAACCAAAGTATTACCACCTTCCTTCCAGGAAAAAAAAATGCAGAGGTATCCACCTCTACTTCTTTTTGGCAATTCTCCTCAGATCTTATATGAACTTCTCTCAAAAAAAAAAAAAAAATTAATAATTCACCCTCATATCTCTATAGCCAATTAAAACACATAAGAAGTTACTGGGATGTACAGAAGAATCCTGAACAGCTCTCACCACAAAAACAAATGCAAATCTATCAACTCACTAACATGTGTCCTCCCCAGAGTCAAATCAGAGCTTCCAACAGTCTTTTTCACCAAAAGKAGAAACAAAACAACAGAAATGGGGATTTTAACAGCAAGATTTTCATGRTGCAACCATATTTTTTAAGGAAAGCAAAGACATTAAGCTGTACAAGGAAGAGAAGGCAAACACTTCCCCGGAACTGCACAGACAGAGAAAACTGAACCTTATCTTTGTAAAACTACTCCATAGGAGCAGAAAAAGAAACAAAGCTCAAGGCTGAGACTGGAATGTGATTGTATTCCACTTAGGCAAGTTGAAGTGTTCTGCTAGAACATCTCCCCATTTTTTGAACTTCTTCCCTGACTCCCAGAAGACACCTCCCACACTTTCTCCTGCCCTCTCTTTTTTGAGGCCTCCATAGGTGTGCTCAGATCTTCAAAASAAACCTCCTTTTAGAGCACCCACARTCTGACTTYTCCCTGGAAAGAGAAGGCACTAAGTGCAGCATGGAATCACTTTTTTCTGCATACCTTTGAGATGGAAATACACTACAAAGGTGTTGAAAGCCTAAAGCTACATCATTCCTCCAGTTTTTATCATAAAACCACCTCACTATGTTTTTTTCCTGCAGGTACCACAGCAATCCATCCTAACACATGTAACTGTTCAGAACAGTTGAACTGTCACTCCACAGTGAGAAGAGTGCAGCAGAGGAAAAATAATTAAAAAAAAAAAAATCAATATTCTTCTGAGAAGCAGAAAGCATTTGAGTCACTTAAACACATCTTAATCCATATAAGGACGATTTTAGGGGATACTTCTCAATAACAGCTATGCTTGGACAAGGATTGCAACTCTGTAGTATAGAAGATAATAGCAAAGGTATTAAACACAGTAATTTTAAATAACTCTCTCAAGCTAATTTCTGTGTCCCTCATCTATAGGCAGAAATACAAACAGGTGCACTTGCAAAAATGAAGAAAATATCCATTAAAAAAGTATTGCTCACTTTTGTTCCATCAAAGCCTGAAAATCTTGAAGTCTAGTTAACAAATCCCATGCTGGTAACCAACTGCAATGAGAGTTACACCTGGCATTTTTCAAGSTCTTTCATGGCAATCAGTCTTTTACACCTTCTGCTTTCAAGGACACAGCACAGAAAAATCTCTGCTTGGAGGAATCACGAGAACAGAGCCARAAACAAAGCTCAGCTCACAGACATTAAAAAGATTATTCTTCGRTATTTTGTCCGGATAAATATCTTCTTCCCACTCTCCAGTTCTTTAATGAGGTGCTACATGAAATGTAAAAATTACCTGTCAAGTAGGTCAAAAGCCTGCACAACTGGGCATTTCAGTGCTCAGGAACTGAAGTTGAAGTAATTAAACTAACAGTAGTGCAAGGCTTTTCTTGACAGAAGAAGAAAGGTTATTCTTTCTGCATTTTATGAGCCTGAAAATTCCTCTGATACATGAGCAATGGAAGCTGGAGCAGGAACTTTCCCCTCTCCCAGGTCTACCCATGGTTTCTCCTGCCCCTGCTCCCATATAAACCCCACTGTTCTGTTACTGACAGTGCTGCTGTGGGATCCTGTGCTGATCTGTGGAATCCTAAAGCAAATTCCTGATGCAAGTTCTGCCGAACCCCCAAAGCCAAACCTCACTGATAGCGGGATTTCGCCGTGTCAGTCCCMCAGAGTCCAAAAGGGCAGATTTTGGCCTTGTTTCCTGGCACTGTTACAAGGAACACAGCACGGTGCTTGAAATTTTGAGTTACTTTGGCTAGCAGCTTGGAAATTTTAACAAACTCAAAACATTTTCAAGCTGTGAATCTGAAAAATAACAGAATTTCGTAACAGTGTTTTGCAGTTGTTTCACAGCAAAAAACAGTCTCACAACTTCATCAACAAAATGACACCAGCCATCAACCAGAGGCTTTCAGTGGTTTGGGTGAAAGGATCATTTCCAGTTCTGTCCTAGCACAGGAATTTCTTCATGGAAGACAGCTTCAAGAAATGAAATTATAGCCAGAGTTAAAGAAAAACTCAGCTCAAACCATCACTAGTGAGAAACTGGTAACTCAATGCAAACTTAATGTATATAACAGAGAATGCTTATTCATTGAATCGTTTGGGTTGGAASGGACTGGAAAGAGCAACCAACTTCCCTCCCTGACGTGAGCAGAGACACCTTCCACTATCCCAGGGTGCTCCAAGCCCTATCCAACCTGGCCTTTAACACTTCCAGGGATTCAGAGACAGCCACAGCTTCTCTGAACAACCTGTGCCAGGGCCTTACCACCCTCACAATCASCAATTTCCTCCTAATATCTAATCTAAATCTACCCTCCTTCAGATAAAACCAATTCCTCTTGTCCTATCACTACATGCCCTTGAGGAAAGTGCTACATGAAGATCCCATTCCAAGAAAACCCACATAATTTTAGAGGAAAACATCCTGGTAGTAGAAATTAATCAGCATTTCGTTTTCATAACATGTTTCAACTCACTGCTACACTTTATTGCATCAGAACACACTTTTCTGGAATACAATTTACACATCCAGAGAAGCAGCCAAAAATATTTCCAATGGCCCCTTCAGCCCTCTAGGAACTACTTGCTGGTTTTTAGCCACTGAAAAATAATATTTTCCAAAAACCTAATGCTGGAAGCTTCAGAATAAAAAAATAAAACTTAAAAAAATTCATTTCACTTCCCTGATGTAGTCAACCTTTAACTCTATTCCTCTGCTACTCTTGAGGTTTCCTAAAGCCAAGCACAACACTTWCTTCCAAAAGTAGCAGCCAGAAACCAGCCCAGTGAACAACCAAATCCTCTACTTCTCTAAGAACAGGAAACCCCAGGAATGATTACTGGATTCCCAGCCTGAAGCTTTCAGTTCAAACATGAGGAGATTCAAAGAGAACACATTAGAGCAAAGGGCTCCAAGGGGAGCCCCTAAACAGCCACTATCATCTGAGTCTTGGCAAAGGAATTAACTATCCAACACATCAAAACATTCCTAAATTCATCTAAATTAGCCAACAGGATCTTATCTCATTTTTCAGCAACTACCTCCTTGCTCTATTTTTAACCTTAAACAGCTAGTTTAAACCCAGTCATTCTTGTACTATCTCAGTAGGTAGGAAGGGAAAGATAAATTTACTGAGCAAGCTGAAAGCTTCCAAATTCTTGGATTAAATCCAACAACTCTAAGACTCTGGTTCTCTCTGGCCTGCAAAAAGCAAGGAAGAGATATCCTCACCTGCTCCCATCACATGTCCCAGTACCTCAACTTTGGGGACACCCCCTCAGCCCCTGTCCCAGCCAAACCAGACATCAGGGGGTACAACCTTTCCCTGTCCCTACATGTCATCTTTAGCCAGAGGTGAGTGAGACATGGTGATTAGAGCAGCAGGAAGAGAACAAGGGAGGCTTCTGCTGTTGCTTTACGTGTTGTGAGTGTGTTTAAGAAYGAAACTTTTCAAGCTTTTTCAGACTCTAGGGCTGTCAGTGCTGAAACTTTTACTGGTATTTAGCTCAGTAATTTATTTAAAGCTCTATACAGCAATTCATAGGAGGACAGTAAGCAGCTTCTCCCGCAATTAGTTGACTCAACAGCTGTATTTCTGAAAATTGCTCTGTTTTGCTTTCACTCCCCAGGATTTAAATTATGAAGTTACTATTTCTTATTAACAGGACTTCACTGTGTTCCAATCTAACCAACATAGAAGATGATGAAATGGAACAGCTATTGTGGATACTTTGCCTGAGTACAATGAAGTCACAAGTGCCAAGACTGGCACGAGTATCAGAAGAGATTATTTTCTACTCAGAATGCTGAAAAAATGCATTTACCTATCTTAATGAATCGACAGGGGAACATCTGTTCATCAATTTTATGCTTCAAGGTGAATGTTTCTTTGTTATAATCATTCTTTAAGCCACTGTGGGAAAAAATAAATAAGGTTACTAAATCTTACCTTGGATTTTAGGACTAGCTAATAAATGCAATCTAGGTCACGCCTGAAACGCAAAGCTTGTTTCATACCACTCTGAATCATAAGTACACATGCTGGACCAAGGCCTGGGCTGCTCTCCACCAACCTGTGCTTCCCTGGGAGCAGTACTGGGATTTTTGGGAGGGAACCTGTACCTGGAACCCTGAGACTTCAGCTCCTGATGAACTGCACTCTTTCATTCTCAAGAGGGAGAGGGATCAGATCTCAAAATTATCACCCTGACAAAGTGCTTTGTGAATCATTTATGAGCACTGCTTTTTAAAAATATCAAATATTTAGWACAATTTATCAAAAATCTTAAGTCTGTTGTTACTGAAAATTCAAGTACAGGTCCCAAAATGATGAATTTTTTTTAACTTCATCACAAGTGAAATTATTTTAAATGTATTTTAATTACTGTGATACTAAATTACTATGATACTAGAAGACCTCTTCCCCCACAATTSTAACAGCAATAATGGCAAATTTCAAGATTGGTCTATTCAATGAGGGCAAAAGTGTGAGAAGGGTTGTGGAAAGAKTCTATAAGGTCCTTGAACGATACCTGCAATACAGAATTTCCCATGTTTCTCCATGGCTCTTCTGTTTGACTACAGAGAGTGTAAACCCCATACATTCCCAGAAAATGGAGTTCTCTTCTGTAGGCCTCCCAAAACACTCTGTTTCTTGCTRCTCTTGTACTCCTGGATATTTAACKCTCATSTACCTTTCTGAAATAGCAGACTCYTTAAAAGGTCCTTGCAAATTTACATTAGGAACWACTCAGAAGTTCTGGATGGCCTGAACAGCCAAAAGCCTTTCTTTCATCCCTATCAGTACAACTCTGGTATGGAACTAAACAAAGGAAAATGCAGGTKTTCCATCTGCCAGTTTGATTTATTTACCCATTTGAAGAAAGGCAGAGCAGCTGACTAGCTCAGATCTTTATGGCTGCAACAAGGTTTTTGACATGGGGTRGTTACTTGGGCTTTTAAAAGTTACTTTAAAGTTCCCCACACCTGGGGAACAATTTCTCCTGTGCCTCAAGCACATGGAAGGAAGGAATTGCAATCCAGCAGCGCTGCAAACTGCACTCAGCTCTTCCAAATTCCCAAGAGCTCGCTCTCCACAAATCCTCTGTGGTYAGAGCAGGATAAGGAAGGCTTCCTGGAGTGAGCATTGGGATTGCTACTGTCTGACCTGACCACAAACATGAGGGCAGTCAATGACAGGGTCACAACCACAGTTCTGCTCCACTGCTGGCTATGTGTCTGCTGGGGAGCCAAGGGGAAGAGCATTTTGGTCCAGCCTTTACAGTTCCYAGGGCTGATGGAATCACATCTTACCTGGATAAGAGATCTGTCATATTCTCCTCATTCATCCCACCAAAGACTTTAAACTTCTTTAAATTGCAGACATGTGTTTTCTCRTATTTGCCAAATGTGATGCTCTGGACTATGGCAGGTCTTTCAAGCTTCAGGATTAAATACTGTGGAAGAGATAACAGTGAGTTTTAATATTAAAACCAAGGCTGCAAAACACACTAAGGGAGAAGCATTACAGCTTCCAAATATTCMGTTTACAAAGCCAGAGAGTGAAAGTGGAGATAAAACCTTCCCACCATGTTATTTTCTCTTTTTTTTCCTAGAATGAAGAAAAGGTTTTTTAAGAATATTACTTTAAAAGCAGTTTATCGAGGAAAAAGATTTGGTTGAACTACTTATTGCTAGCAAYTCTATTCAGGGCTTACATACATTCCTTTAAGTTGGACGCAAGACTTCCTGAAATCTGGCAAATAGGATCAAGCTACAGAGAGTGAAGATTCAAACGCCCACTACAGCCTGAAATGAAACCTAAACTGAATACACAATTAGATAAATACAGTATGTTCCACATGCTAAGAGAACATCAAATTACTTTTGCTCTCTGGGCTGATGCTGTTTAACCACTGAATACAAAGTTTGGTGTGTGGAGAACACAGGAACCAACTGCTATTAAACAAAACTGAGCCACYTAATGACAGTAAAGGAGCTTTACACAGAAAATAATGGAAATGTTCTCCCTTGTGAACATTTGYTCCCTTCTTACACTGTGTGGACAAAATCTGTTTATGAAAAGTTAGATTATTTATACTCAGGCCACCGCTACCAGCTTCAGCAGCATTGCTGGAGGAAAAGGTCTGTTCCTAGGGMAAAGCAGGTGCAGGGAAGTACTTGCACCATCTATAAGGGACCATCGACCACCTTCCCCTACCCAACAGGTYTTGTAGTCTGGAGACACCTTGTTTTGCAGAACACATCGAGTTTTATATCTGAAAACAGTGTGTTTCATTCTCTTCCCTATTTTCTCAGAAATAAGCAGAACACCACAGAGCACCGAGGCAGAGCACAAAATGACAATTACTCATCATGCTGATTTTGTTACAAAACCCTGTCATCAGGACTCCAGCACAAGCAGATCAGCACATCATAAGACACCTCCCACCACAGCCTCTGCTGGTGGCCCTGTCCTCCAAGCAGCAGCACTGGCCAGCCAGACACAATGCCTGATTTTTGGTCTTTCATCGACATCAAGTACAGTTATTTACATGTGTGTGGCTGCTTTCTGTGGATCCTGAGCAGAGACTGAGTAGTATCTCCTGTGCTATACAACTCCATCAGCAGGGCAATCTTACCTAGAAAGGTAACTTTTGGGAGAGCAGCAGAAAAAACTTGCCCACCCATTTAGTTCTCAGTTTGTTTTGTTTTTTTTTTTGTCTCAGCCCTATAAAGCAACTAATTCTCAAGCTGGGAGTAGTACTGACATTGTTCTAGAGAGCATCAGGATAATGCTGTGACAGATAAAGGTGTGACCTCAATGGCTGATTCCCACTACATTTCCAAAAACTTAGATTAAAAGAAATACTTGTACATAGAGCAGTTAGATGAGGATGCAGATAGGTACTAATAGCAGATTTACTGTCAAAGATATTTCCAACATTTTAATTTTTTTCTAAATGAAGAAAAGAAGCCAGTATCAGCACTGTAAGGGTAAAACGGAAGATGGCTTTGGTGCTTTCCCAAATACTTTGAATGAAAAATTTCTAGTTTTGTGAAGAACACCATCCACCTAAACACCAGGAACCCAAGGTTAGATTAAGTAGCAGCAAGCCATGCTGTTGTTCCAAAGTATTTCCCAAACTTCAAAAAAAGAATCCACTAAAATTCTATACAGAAAACTGATTTTCTAAAGCACAAAAAGGAAACGAGCAAAAGGACGGTCCTTTAATGAGCAAGGCAGCACTTGATACATGGCACAGCCTGCTGCCAAAATTCCCATAAAGAACAGACAGTACACAATGTCTAAGAACTCCTCCTACACCATCATATCTTCCCTGCAGATTTCTCCCAAAGCTGGAAAAGTGAAGCCAGCACTACCAGCAATTGCAATTCTTAATCCTGCTGGAATCCCAAACCTAATGCCTGGGCCATGAACACATACTTTCTCAAGTACCACACAAGATTTGCAATAACTTGGCACAAATGTCATCCTGCATTATTCAATTCTTACCCTAAATTAAAGGAGAGAAAACCAGGACTGCAGTAAAATCCTTTATGCCTGGAAGGAAGCAAGGCACAACAATTACTCCACATGGCCAGCAGTGATTTCTTAACCCTACAGATAGAGAGGGAACTCTGCCGCCCTCCTTCCCACTTCCACACATCCCACCACCTGCTGAGTCATGCAGACCTTACAGAAAATAGAAGCACAAAAGCTAAACTCAACCTTTTTTTGTGAATTCTCTGCTGATTGATATGGAAACAAAGGGAACTTGCTATAAACCCTGTGCCTAGATACGTGTTTTTCTATTTTTTAATGCATACACACACATAGCAAGCTGGAAGACTTTCGAACCAAAAGATAAATTTAGATCAGCTATTAGGAATAAATTCTTTACTGTGAGGGTGGTGAGACCCTGGCACAGGTTACTTGCCTGGGAGTTTGTGGATTCCCTACCCCTGGAAGAGTTTGAGGCCAGACTGTCTTGCAGCAGCCTGGTCTAGTGAAAGGTGTCCCTGCACTTGGCAGGGAGTTAGAATGAAATGATCTTTTAAGCTCCCTTCTAACCCAAACTGTTTTGCAATTCCATGACATATATAAAAATATATAGATGCACTTTTTGGGTTTCTGTACAAAACACACCACTCCCACTGTGTGGGTACCAGCTACGAATCCCACTGATGTTTTAAAAACACACTGCCTCAAGAGCTGCTAACAGCTGGCTGCATGGATATTTTTGGACTGCTACCAGGATTTTMGCTGTGACAGACTATTCTCTGTAGCTCCAAAAGATGTGACAGAAGTGTCTGTAAGATCAAGTGATTTATTCAACCTGGAAAGAACAAGTCAAGAGATTTCAGGCAAATGCTTACACCAAGATTTTTGACACTTTTCCATTTTATTGCTATGAGCAACATCAGTACATTTAATGTCTACGTTTTCATGCAGTATTCCAAAAATCCAAATTATAACTGAAGTGTTTGTCCATTAGAACATGGCACACAGATACTAATTGGCATGACTGAGCAAAAACCTCAGCCCAGTTGTTAGGCCTCAAATCACAACATTAACAAAAATAAATACTACAAAACATTAGAAGAGCAAAACTTCTGGTTTCTGATTGAACATATTTGTAAAAAAATACAGCACCCCAACAGCTCCTTACAGAGCACCCCCMAAAAAAGGCAAGTCCAACCTTGTCACGCTGGGAGCTGCAGAAAATTCCAAACTTTCTGAAGCTCTGGTCTGTGCTACTATTTGATGACAACCATATGYAGGCTGCTGCATCACACAACTGGGCGCAAATTTTATTAATGTGCTTTAAATTAATTCCTGATACAATCTACACAGCAGGATGGAAATCAGAGGAAAACTGGTCTTCAGATGCAAAACTGAAAATGATTGTTTGGACAACAACGCTAAGTTTATACATATACTGTTCAACTACTCAAAATTCACACCTCCACAACACTGGAATGGGCTGCCCAGGGAGTAGAGTCACCAGCCTTGGAGGTATCCAAGAAACAACTGGACGTGGCATTTAACTAGACCCTGGCACTGAGAACGTGGTGATTGGTCAAAGGTTGGACTCTRTGATCTGAGAGGTCATTTCCAACCTAACTGGTTCTGTGATTAAACATGCTGAACCAGATTCCAGACTGCACTACACAAGTTGCCTGTACAATTAGAGTCACGCTGTATTTTATCAATTTCTTTCTCTTTAACCAGTTCTGCTCAAGCATTTTTTTAATTAGAGAACAGTGAAGCTTGTACTGCATGTAAAAATAAAACCCACAAAATAACAAGGGCTGTCCTTGGCATGATATAAATATCTCAACTGCTCTTGCAATTAAGTTGGTGGTTAAATAAAAATCTATGCTTTTGTTCTACACATTATTAATCAAGCCACTCAGGGGAATTAAATGCTGTTCTGCAGTCTTCCACATTAGACCATCACTGGAATCACCAGGATGAGCTTTTCTGACAAGGCTGTGGTCTTTAGCATCACCAGCCTCATTGCTTCACACTTCCTATGTAAGCCGAGAAAGACATTAAAAATAGAACCATCAGCCCTCTCCTGCCTGAATAGGTTACTACATAACAGGTTTGTTATTAAACAGATAATTTCTGGGTCATCTATTTCAAGACTCAAGAAAGATATCTAGTTTAATAAACAGAAAAACAGCTGTCAGATGTATTTCGTTTCACTGGCACTCATTCATAACCAACTGGCGGCTTCCATGGCCACGAGAATCATTTAACTCTACCACATCCATGAAGCCAGGAAAATCCTTTACTAAAAACAGTAATGTGGCAGCATTTCAAGTGACTACACTTCCACTTTCACTTTCTTTCCCTTTTCAAAAATGTTTGGTATGGATTTGGGCACATTTACTGCATTTTCATTGAGCTGATGAACACATTTTGATGTTTTTACCTATRCTCTTCTGATTCATGCTCTGAAAAAATGGTGCCCAGAAAGGTTTTGTTTCACTCATTGACAGAAGGGAATAAACCMATGTTCAGGGACTCATTCATATTTTTACCTCTAAGCCAGCACAGCATCATCACCTCAGCAGGGACTTGCTAAACCCTGGCACTAAGGTGAGGCACTGAGGAGACAAATACAAGCGATCAGGACTGCAGAGCTTATTAAAATATCTCACATTGAGCACGAAGAACATCAGTCCTTGTGTTGTGCCTTAGCCCTGGGTTCAGCTAATAAAGCTGGGAACAAGGARAGCTTTATTTCCCTGAGTTTTAGTTCACTTCCTGTCCAGACCATTATGGCCACCCACACACTTGAGCAAGTGCGTCACCACACGAGTGACCAGTTTTTAACTAAAGTGCTGCCAACACAACACCCATAAAACGCTTTGCAGCTTCATTTTCTATAGGATATGAAACATTTATTCCAAGGATTTAAAGTCATGTGTATACAACAATATTTTTTGGAATATGAAGTACTCAACTTGATTTTTCCCCAAATTCTCTCCTCACCACAATTATAGTTCAGTCATCAATTGTTTCAACAGAAGTCTTCCAAGCTAAAGTTGTGCTGAAAGAACTTCAGTCACGGGGAAAAACAAGAAAGCAGAACACTACATAAAAGTTGTTCCTGCATTTAAATGTGGRAGTCTTTCAATGCACAAGGTACAAYAACTATTTTCATCAAAATGCAACCAAATTTGGAGTTCTTTTGTCAAGTATGAGACAACACAAATGGGAACTGCTTTTATATACACAGAAACAACAAAAACTGCACTCTTTGCACACAGGACTCTTCTGAAGATTTTAATTTCCCATTTCCTCTTTCCAACTAATTTTTCAACACAGAAATTAAACTGTAAAAAATGCTTTGCATGAATAATTAAACACTCAGATTAGMAACACGAGAATTAGCTGAAGTATATAGTTCTTTATATAGTATAAAGGCACTGCAAATACAGTGCTCAGGATTTGGCTTGCTGAGTGCATGAGCAACTACACASCATTTTATATTCTCACTATTTGATCCAGAGATTCAAGCAAGAGGATCCAGCAGCACTGTTTTTTCCAGTTAGGCAGCCAGGTTTTCTGTYAGTTTTGTCTTTAAGTAATAGAATAAAACTAAAATACTGACTTGGCAATTTCAGTTGCCACTACAAGGACTAATTTTTTCAAGGAGGAACTTAATTCTGGATACCAAATTTATGTCTCAATTTGGGACACACAGGTAGATTAACACCAGTGTTAATTCGTCTCTTTTCTACCAAAAAGTTTRGTTTAAATGCCTTGCTTAGCATGCAGAGCAGTGCCCAACTCTCCAGGGCTTGAGTCAAGTCATTCTGCAACAACATCTCCATTCAGGTCACGACTCATACACATAAAATTTTTGGAAGACATCTCTTTAACAAGCTCATGTGGGTTTGTATAGAAGTCTGCCACTCTAATTAATCCCTGCTTAATCTACATGTCTGAGTGTAACCTGCATCACTGCTTGCCAGCCTTAAGGATAAATTGGGAATATTCTAAAGCATCCACTTACRGGAGGTATGTTCCCATTTCAGAATCAGATTTTTAAAAGCACTAAATATTCAGGATGGCTCAAAATTAAAGAGYAAATTTGAGCAACAACTAAGAGCACATCTCAGAAGAAAAACCCAGTCCAAAGACACACCATGAGCCAACCCTGCCCTGGGAACAAAAGCACCCCAAAAAAACCCCACATGCTTCCTGCATGAACGAAAAGAAAGGATGGCACAGACTGCGATACAATCCATGCTCAATACCCATTACTCTGCAATCCATAGTTCCTAGATAGACTAAAACTGCTTCAGGCTATGGACTAATATCCTAYGTTGTTCATCAAAATATAAATATGTAAAATAATCAAATTAAAACAGYAGTAGATGCACAGAGACATCAAGAGGATCAATATCAGTCTTCACAATCAAGTTTAAGGAACATGTTAATGGAATACAAAGGACAGCTTTTCTTAAAAAAAAAACAAAACCCTAATTTCATACAAACAATGACATAGAAGGATTGATCGAAAATCCAGGTGAAAGCTCTTCAATTGGAGCARACGACCTGCTACTCCAGGGAGCCAATAGTGCAGACTATGGATTTTTAACAAAACTCCAAGGCAAAGCAGCATGATTTACGTGGAGAAAAATCCTGTGGGATTTCACTCATGAGGAATACTTGGATTAAGTAAGTAGAAAAACAGAATGTTGCATGAGATACTGTGCACAACACTCTGCTGTGAATCAGTGTTTTAGACAAAGAATTGAAAACAAGCAGCATAAGACACATAGAAGCTGACCAAACCATATCAGAATAATAAGGTACAGATCTAACACAGAGAGAAGAACAACACTCATTGGAGAAAAATAAAAAGTGGAAAAGTATTTTCTGGATAATCTAACAGCCTTAATAGTGAGAAAGCAAATTAGATGCTAAAATCAATATATATCTTATTTTAATAAGGTGCTTAACCAGCAGAAGAGGTGATACTTGTGTCTCTAACCAGAGGCCACATTTCTGAATGTGCTGTTAGGAGAAACAAACACAAGCTCCTTAGATCTGGGATTTGAGGCCAAGGAGCTACAACAGCCTCCAGTAGGGCTGACAAAGGGGGACCTGCATGCCTCATTAGCAGCTTAATCTCACCATAAGGTTTGATTATTTCCAGCAYGACCACGATTGCCAAGGAGGAAACCTGAAACTTCCCACGCAATGAAGCACTTCCAGAAAGATCACAAATTGCTAGAAATATAAATAACTAATGTACCAACAACCTGTATTTTTCTCAGAGAAGGAWGCCTATAAATATGTCAATCTCAATAGCAGAAGCCCACATTTAAAATAAAAAGCCCATTATACATTAAGGTGTACAATACAGCTACAGAGTAACAGAGATTCAGGAGCTTACCTGGGGAGGATAATTGCTTTCTGAAGACCATCGTGAGGATTGATCATTGGGTTTATCCACCAAGATATTCCTAAAAAACAAGAAGTCATAAGCAGTTTAAATAAGAGCTGCATATTTTACATCCTCAATAAATGTGTTGTATATTCAGACCAGTAACATTCTTATGCAACCATCTAAATCATTAGGTACAGACTCAGGTTCTCCCCCTCCTTTATTAAAGATTTTCTACATTGYTATTTTACAAGACCCATCAAAATACGCCTTCAAGCTTCGTGTTGTGAAACGGAGCTCCAAATTGCGAAATTAAAAAAATCCAAATTGTGAAATAAATGTAAAACAGATGAATTGACACAGGCCTAAGTTTGTAACAGAGTGGAAAAATCGGGCTTATTCACCTCAGTGGGTAAGAAGTTTTCAATAAGGTCAAAATGATCAGCAGTTGGAGGGTTAGTAAGCCAAAAACTCTCCTTTAGGAGACAGTCAATACTGAAATGGAAAAAGAGGACTGCTAACCTACTTAAGTTTTCCTGGAGCATGGAAGATAGCCACCTAAGTCATGCCAAATTTTAACAAGTATTTTTCATGAGCTACAAGTCCAGAACAACACACAACAAAGCAGAAGTTCAACTCTTCAACCAGCAAAAYTGAGTTGCTTTCTTCAGTTGGAAATAGTACAATACTTAGGTATTTAACAAATTCAAAAGTTATTTTTTGGCTAAAATTAAATAGATTCATCATGACAGTTACATGATACATCTGCTTTCTCTCCTATAACCATGCAATAAAGCTCAAGTCCCAAATAAAACTTTAAAAAAAAAGAAAAAAAAATCCCTAAAACATATATAATTATTGGCAAGGTGACAATGCACCACCTGCTGGACAGGGCTTGTGAGCTCTACGACATCCAACTAACGAACTTGTCAGCTCAAAAAACTTATGTAAAAAGAAGGAAACAGTCATCAAAAGGCTTATGCCATCTCCATCTGCTGTGTAGGAGGAAAAGAACACGAGCATCTGGATTACTACAAAGGGCTGGAGGAAAAAGCGCTCCAATGAAAGCTCCGAAGGGAAGGAGGTTAAGTCAGAGGTTGAGCATTAACAGACAGAGAAATTAGCTGGCTCTTTCCACACTGCGCAGCCCGAAATCACCGCAGTAGCAACGGTATCCAAGCAGTCCGACCAGGAGACAAGGGACACAGCCAGGAGCCAGGGTGGCCTCTTAAATCTGAACACTTTCGAAAGCTGGCCAAATGGCTGTGTCTAWCCATAGGCATGGAGAACACCTTGGATTTTCACACGTGCAGGAATAAAACTGAGGTTCCCCCTCCCTTTAGCTACTTCCCATTACAGCACAGCGTTTATTAACGCAGCAGTGCCAGTGCCGATCCAGGTCTGTGGCTGCTTYATTCACCCATCCCCACTCGGGATACTGCAATAAAACAGCGCTGCCCTCTGCTCCAACCCCATCACACATAAAGAACATGGCTYTACATAATTAAACATCCAGTTAAGAACATCATACGCAGTGCAAAGAGGCTCAACTGCAAAAGAAAACCTGGCCCTGTCTTTAATTACAAACTAGGACAAAATGAATCAACCTAAGCAAAGGGAAGAATTTGGGAACTGAGACATGGATTTCTAAAAAAAGCTGCCAGTCTGAAAGCTACGTCACCATTAGAAACCACAAGACTCTTGCTTTGGAGAATAATCGCACCTGCAGTCTCCTATACCATGCCACAGGCAAGACACGGTATTTAATAAATTCTTAATACCTCTTTCTGTCTGGAGAGGAAAAAATGTTGAACTTAAATATATGTATCTTGTATTAAATACTTTAGGGATACAAAGGCAGATAAAACTAGATAATACTGTATGGCTTTTCTCCTTTATGGAACTTTATCCTAATCCTGGAACGCAAGAAGACAAGTTACCCTACAGAATAAATTTTATTTACGATTCCACTGTGTTTGTTTAAACATTAGACAATAAACTCTTCGTACATTGAGCAACATTTGCAGGAATTGGCACTCCTACAYGGTCAGATAATGCCCAGCTGGAAAGAGGTATTTTATACCTGGGACAGATCCCAAATATCATATTTTTAGAAGTAGATTTGTTTGCTTCTCCAGGTCAAAGATCAGTTTGCCACAACCAAGGAAGATCTCAATCACTACAGCTAGAYAAGACAAAAATTATTCAGCAGAGAGAAAGGGGACAGGCAGCTCACACAAAATCAAGGCTAAAAAGAAATGTGAAAGATAAAGATAGCAATGTCAATGGAATTAGAAACTTTTAAGAACACATGGATTATTAATTTATTAAGATGAAACGAACATTGAAGAYGTAAGTCCATGTGTACAAAGCCAATTTGCTGTAACAGTTTAGGAAAATTTATGGGCTTGGAGGAATTCATGCACTCCAGCAGCCATGAGACGGTAAGAAACAAACAAATGCATATTTTAATGGCAAACRCCTCTTTCCATGTAAAGCCCTTTTTCTGGACATCACAGAACTCCTACACAGTACCCGGAGGGAGGCTTTGMAGATATGACACCTAGATTAAAATCTGAGAAACTTTAGAAGCGAAAATTCCATTAACACAACAACATCCCATGTAATTTTCACAAGACATTAAATAAAAAAAAAAAAGTATTTGTCTGCCCTCGAGCTGCCRCAAGTACCAACAGTTTTACGCAAGCTTTTCCTGCAAAAAAAAAGCAACCCGTTAAACGTGGTTTGAGATAACTTCTAATCATCGGATGTGGATACAAGATCGAGTCTAGCACGAATATACAACACTGCCAAGAGGGACCACCCCACCCACTCACAGAGGATCCTCCCCCTCCCTACACCAGCAGCTATAATAACGATTTGCATAAATAACTTCTTTAGTCAGATCASTTCTCCACTTTAGTTCATATCAGTGCCAGCACAAACTGTGACTAAAAGATGAGCAGCTGGACCTGGATGAGGGGTTCACACTGGAGTGAACTCCCAATCCCCCTTCCCACTGGAAAGCAACTACTAAAAAAATGAGACAAYGTGGTACCTCTGCTATGAAAGGCAAAGCAGGAGTAGCCATTTTATTAACACAGTGAGCAATTTCAGAGGCAGCACTGGTGTGCCTCATTTCCTAACCCGGCTGCTTGCACCACTATCAGCAGCTAAGCCCTGCTGTAAGCATTCCCATCACTAAAAAGTGGATGGGTCCATGCAGAAAACTCTTGGCAAAGCACAATGCAAGTTTCTTTTTACTACCCAGGCAGACGCTGGTCTTGCAATTGCTGGAAGGAGATAATTTTTCCTTTTACCAACCCAGAAACCATCATATCCTTTGTGCCAACTGCTGGCTGATCTCTGCTGGAATGACAGAGGTCCCCATGTCTGGGGACTACTCAGTGCAAACAGCTCTGTGGGTTCAGGCTTGACAATCACTGAGGGAGCGTTTTCCTTTGCTCCAGGGTGGAAGGGAGAAATAAGATGACTTTGCAGAATACAYAGCAAATGAGGTTTAAGGCTGCTATAATTTGCATCTAACCCAAATATTTTCATGGTGCTGCTATTAGAGAAATCCATGACTTTAGGAACGAGTCTTTAAGAATAAACAAATCCTAAACACTCGCTTTGCTTGGCACATTCATATGGCTCTTCAGAGAGCAGCTGTGCARGAAAGGGCAAAGGCATCACTAAGAGGACTTGGAATTCAGACTCTCTTCTAGAAAACCATGGAGGTACTGTGCCAGTACACTGCAAAAAGCACTTGGAGGGCTAGGAAAACACAGATTGGCTGGAAACGGACTAAATACTTGCTCCAGAGTTGTCCACGTGATGATTTTTTCAGTTTTTCCTACMATCATCCCAAAAGAGATTGGGAAGAATACAGTAACTGGAATATACAGACTAGATTTCCATTAAGTCCACTGTAAGACGTGGTGGACCAAACTATTCCAAACATGTGGAACCATCTCAGCAGTCAACAGAAAGCATMCACAGAGATAATCCTGCCCAGCCTAGACACTGGAATGTACACACAGTCTTAACCGAGAAAAATGGGGGAAAAAAACTACTCACCACCAAAAAACCCAATGGATCTGGAAAGAACTACAGTTTTTTTTTTTTCTCGTGCAATTCCCAAACACTCATTACAACTCATGCTGGTTTTGAACCACCCGGCTGCAATGTTTGAAAACCTGCATGTACCTATGGTTGCCCCCTAAAGCAGGTCAAAAAATGCTTTTTAGATTCTGCTACAGTTTCTCTCCTTCCCACTGGAAGTTCTCTGCTTAAAGAAGGATGTAAAGATATGAAAAAGTCATGATTGAAATACATTTCAAAAGCAATGTTATCATGTATTATTTAGATCCATTTAGGAAAAAAGTTTTTTTATGATTGGGTGTTGTTTTTTGGGGTTGCTATTTTACAACACAGGATTTCTTAACTTTTGSATAACAAAACAAAGTTTGAGTAAAACATGTACAAGAGCGCATAGTTTTAAATACTATAATGTCATGTGATTTGCCAACTTTCTGCTCTATTTTACTTCATCTCCTCAGCAGTCTCACATCCTCATCCACTATAATTATAAACCTACTTCGATCAAAAAAAAAAAAAAAAGCTTAGTAAGTCCAGCATAACAAAAATAAACTGAAGGATTTAGAAATCATGTTACAGAAATATACTTATCAGATCACAGCTGACTACACTGGACAACAAACCAGGCATTACTTAGCTCTGGTCCAGAAACAGCTCAATTAAAATCAGGTTCTTGATTTTTTCAATGTTTTTTAAGTTGTCTATCATCACTGCCAGACCAACCAAACTGTTTCTTAAATGCAAAATTGCCCTGATGCAGGCATTTCTAGTAAGGCAAGTTAGGAAGTACTTTTTCTTCACACCCTCCCCCCAGACTTCTAAGACTTTTTTAAACAAGATCCTTTGATTCATCAGTTCTTCCTCCAGACACGCCAGGAATTAAATACTATCAATAGTGACTAAAACTGCAGCAGTGTAGTGAACACTCAAGAAGCCACAGAATCACTCGGAGTTGGGAAAGATTGTTAAAATCACCAA